TACTTTACTTTATCATTTGTTTCTCTTTTCGTGTTGTTGGGGCGTAAGAATCGATCACACCATTTTGTGCCATTATTATTATCGTAAGAGGTAACTACAGAATTTACCAGATCATATGTTTCCGATAGAAGGCGGCATTACCATCTCGTTTACACCAGGCGTAAAATACACCCACCGGCGACGGACAGCAGGGTCAATAGTGTGAAGCTCGTAGTGCTGCGATCATTAAACACCAAGCGTGACCATTGAGTAAAATCCAATCTACAGCTACAGCAGTCCATGTCAAGCAGTGGACTTCAACAGATTTACGATGATGAGAATGATGAAGAGAATGATTTGCATATCATCCATTCATTCAATGATGGTCTGAAACACAGGTAAAAACTCAACCTAGTTCAGACAGATACGGCTAATATTATAAACTTGAGTTTTCAATTTTACTTTTGTAGATTCAACATCATTAAGCTGCACATAGTTTTAATTTTTATTATTACATGTTATTTTTATAAGTTGTTACTTTCTTCAATTGTAATCATATTTGTTCCTCTATGTAAACACGCGTTTAAAAATTAAACAAAAATATTATTATTATTTTGGGTTATTGATAGAGTAATCACATCTGGTTGGGCTGGATAAATATATAAAAGGAAAAAAATATATACTTAAATATATATTTAATATACCAACATAAGTAAATAAATAATACATAAATAAATAAAAGCCCAACCAGATGGAAGCCCTCGGCAGGGGAGACCAAACTTCCGAGGGTTAGGGGGAAAGGGAAAAAAACCGGTGGACGATGCGGGCGTTATCGAGGAGCACCGCCTTCTGCATTTGAGCCCGGAGCGGTCCGTCACTGAGGCCCAGTCGCCTCAGATGACCAGAGAGGCTAACTTTGATTAACCCATTCGCAGAGACGACTACAGGAATAATTTCGGTCGGCAGACCACCCCACATGTCAGTCACCTCGTGAGCCAGGTCCGATATTTTGTTCGTTTATCTGTTTCGGCTTTCACGAGGTTCTCGTCATACGGAATGGTAATGTCGACCAAAAATATCCTTGACTGTGCCCGGTCCATCAGCACAATATCAGGCTTATTCGCAAGAATAGCCTTGTCCGTGATGATGGCCCAGTCCCAATAGAGGCTGGCGCGATCATTTTCGAGCACGACTTCCGGCAAGTACTTGTAATACGGCAATTTCAGATCCACGAGACCGTATTTCAGAGCAAGCTCCTGATGAAGAATTCTGGCTACTATGTTGTGTCTGTGCAAGTACTCAGAGTAAGAAAGCGCCGAACAACCGGAGATGACAAGCCTAAGTGACTCACCGGGATGGCGACAAGCTCGACAGATGTCGGCGGTGCCATCCTTTAGGATGTATCTCCGATAGTTGTTGGTTTTAATAACCTGATCTTGTATTGCACAGACAAAACCCTCGGTTTCCCCGAAGAGGTCACCAAAGCGTAGCCAGTGGAGGGAGGCTACTGTGTCTACGAAAGGCTCATGTAGAGCCTTGTAGAACCTCCCGTGGAGCTCCTTCTCCTTCCATACGGTCTCCCGGTCGGAAATGCTCTGCACTGCCGGGTCTTGCCATTGCTCGTTGGCTAAGGATAGAGGGGTAAGTCCTTTGTCACAAGAAATGACGTCCTTATAAAATGGATCATCCGACCTCGCCAGGAAGTAATCACGGAGACTGCACATTTCACGATTATGCATGGTGAACGCGCTTATTATTATTATTATTATTGTTATTGCAGGCTATAAAATTCTACTGCTGAACATTTGCATCTACCATAGATTGCCTTATAGGGTGAGATTTCCGTAATATATCCCAAACATTTAACATGAATATTAATTAGCAAAATCTGCAAAGTGCTAGATTCCAACATCAGCATTATAATCCGAATTTAATTTAATATGACAGAAAATAGAAATCTAATTTATAAATAAAGTTAATTTCTAAGATTCCGTCTGGGTTGATTTTACCTATTCCTGCCTGTGTGTTAAGTGAGTCTGGTTTCATATTACCCCTAAGTGGTAACAACGCATCTGTAATTTTCTCTGTTTAAAGTAGGTTGAAAATGTCCATGGGCTATTGTAGCCATTTATTTATCTTTACGTTGACTGGTTCACTTCAATTTTTAGAAATATGAAAATAAAAATTTCAATTAACTTTTGCCCGCGGCTACGTATGTCTGCCGGGTAAAACACGGATTAAAAAACCGTTTTTAACCTAAGGCAAGTTCTTTCAAATTTTAAATATGTTCAGCCCATCATAATAGCGATATACGAGTAAATCCAAACATACAAACTTTCACATTTAGATATATTATTGCATTAGTAAGATAAGATATTGGAGTTGTAATGCGTTAAACAACAAAATAGTAAAAGGCAATTTTTATTTGTTACATAAAAATGTAAGAATTTTAGGCTACACAAAATTCAATAGACGCAGCGTAACATTTTAAGCGTTTTATTTTTATACTAGCCAAGCACAAGACGTTAAATTTGTGGGCACATAGAGAAGAAGAAAATTTTAACCACGCAAATTTTATGATCGATAACCGTGCCACCGTTAATACTCTAGCCGACTATGTAGCTACTTTCTTGTTCTAAAATATTATTTTACGATCGAAAGATTAAGTTCTGAAGACCGCATTTCGTGTTACGTATTCAATAGTTTATTTCTTCCGTTAAAAACTAAACTAACAATACTATGAAAATCTAGTGAACAATTTCAGAGCATTACGCCAGGATCTTCTATAGATTTATTATTATTTTCTTTCGGGCAATGTTATGTAGTTTTCGTGCTTATTTTCACATTTTCTAAAAATTTATTAACTATAAGATTAAAAAATATATTTATTACATCAAGTAAAGGCACCTAATACATAAAGCTTTGCGTTAAATATACTCTATTTTGATAAATTTGTAATTAAAGGAAGTCTAGGTACTTCTTATATAGCATTTTAATAAATTTGATTTACAAGGGAAACGGTTAATAATAAAGAACATTGATTTTTCCCGAGTTTACTTGTATCTTCACACTCACACCCAAAGGATGCTATAGTGTGGATATAATATAACAATAATGAAAAGACAAGAAAGCGAAACGAGCTTTAGTTGTGAAATAACGTAACAAAATCGAACTGTGAGGCGGCGCGGCGGGCGGCTACGAAAAGGATTCCAAGCAGTGGAGCTCGATATCGATAATAGTTCTTAGAAAAACAAATATTTTTGGTAAATACATAGATAATAATTATACTTTTACAAAGTATTGTGTTGTATAGTTTCTAGTTAGACAAAGAAGCCAAAAATTTATTTGACGACAAGTAAATAGTACCTACAGCAGCTCTTAAACACTTAAGACCATTTAAAAAAAAAGCTGAAGTGGAAATAAACTTACAGTACATCTGTGGCAAATACAGTCAAATTCAGACAATGAAGGCTATAAATGCTTTATTAGCTTTTGAAATTATGTAAGATAGAATGCCACGTGGTCTGTAATTATACTGGCTCTATATACGTGGACTTACGTCTAGGACGTTATATCACCCTCCTGCTCAAACAAGAGGTCGATGATGCTGTCCAGTTGTCGACAAAGGTAAGTAGATTAGATAGGTAGGATTTGTTCACTAAGCAGGAGCTAGCAGTAAGGGCTCAGAGCTGGGCCGAAACACTGTAGCGCAGAGAGTAGCTTGAAGAAACAAGACGCGCTATTCCATTGCTGCGATGAACCTTTCTAAAGCTTTTCGTAACTTGCAGAAGCCGAAGTAAATGGAAGGAGCACTTCAAGACGATGACAAAAGCTTGTTGTTTTCTAATGCAGCAGTTTGTGTGTTCATATTACTTTAGGACCTTGGCTCGGTAAAGTGGTAGCTAAGCATTTATTTGATAGCGATGAATCAGGCCGCGGGTTTGATTTAGGATAAGTATTTGTATGTCCTACAAATAATTGTTTCGCATCAGGATGCTTAACTACGTGCACTTTATGTTTGTAATACACCTAAACTAATAATAAATTACTACATACTAATAAAGATCGGTAAAGTTTCATAAATGAAATAAAACCAAAACAGCTCTTTGTCTACAAATATGGAATAAAATTATGATACTAAGTTCTTTGATAGTTTGCTTTGTTGATGATATACGAATTATTCTTTCGAATTAACTTAATTTTTAATAAGTTACTACTTAACTGTTATTACCACCGGCATGGCGATTAAGCCAAATTCTCCATATAACATGAGAGACAATTGTCCAGCAGCATTTAGGGGTTGATAAAAAACAAGAAGAAAATATGAAAACAAATATTTCTCCGAAGAGCCGTGGTAGCTTGAAGAGCCGTGGTAGCTCAGATGGTTAACACTCGTTGTAAATATAACAGAACGCGACTAACCCGGGTTCGATCCCCACCGGCACCAATGAAATTATTAATTTCAATTTTAAGTGCTGATTTACCACGCGCTCGGTGGTGAAGGAAAACATCGTGAGGAAACCTGCATGTCTGAGGAATATGAAAAAAAATATTTCGAAGACAACGTGAAGTTCGCCAACACGCATTGGGGCAGCGCGGCGGGCACTTCCTTGCCCTAATAAAACCCTCTCAGAAATGAGGAGAGGCCTGTGCACAGCAGTGGGACGTATATAGGCCGTAACGTTACTAACTTTAAATATTTCTCACTGACCTACTATCTTATGAAAAGAGGATAGTGCACATTTTTTTAGAACTCAAAAGGTATATTTCGATATAATTATTAACCTGTACCCAACACTAGCACTGACGCTACGCTGAAATCGGCGGAACGATGTGCGCAAGCGCGGAGGGCGGGCGGCGGCGTGACGCGCCGTGCGCTCAGCTGACGGCGCGCCGCGTGACGCGTCGCTACGCAGCCACATCGCACGTCCTACAAGATCCGCGCTCTGCCTGGGATGCCACGCGATCGCCACCAGTCCTAAAACACGTATTCCAAGTGGTGCTTAACAACTACTCCGATGATGGTTAGAAGAAACGGCCGCTACACTGTTAGCTTGCGCGGCTTCCGTGACTTTGCATTTGGGAACAAACCACCTGACGACGGTAAGTGCATTGCCAATATGTAACTGTGATCATAATAACCTCAAATCGTCTAAATACCGGTAAATATTATTATGAGCGCATAAACTTCTATTATATTTTTATCTATTTTCCTTTCGTTAAGACCAACTTTCGGTTTGCCGCAATCGCGTAATGATTATAGCTACAGAATATTGGATGCTTAAAATTTTCTGTGTTTTCCCAGTTTCTCATGAATGAATCACTTCGTTATCTTTAGTTTATATAGTTTTGACAACTTACTTCCGGCTTTCTGGTAATAGTATATACATTGATTTACGACTAAACATCTTTTTCTTTTTTCTTATCTAATGACTTCGTGGTGCGCATTGCGATCTTTACAAGGCACATTTTACATTTTATTTGCTTCTGTGTTACAAGGAAATATAAATAATATTTTAAATATGAATAGGTATGAACAACAATTATTTATCAGTCCCACTGGAAGGCTCGTGGGTGACGTAAGAGCCAACAGAGGGATGCTGAAAAAAGAGATGGGCTACAGCATCTTCCTGCTCACTCGAAATAATAAAACTGCGGTTGCAACCCCGCCTGCCAAGCGTGGTTAAGGCAAATTACTATGGCAAACTGGCAGCCGTAGACTTTGATAGACTTTACGGCTGCCAAGTTGTTGAATATCACTGTTTTAAACGGTTTGTTGTCATTTTTTAAAATATAGACATAACCATAACATACAAATAGGGAAATCCTTTTTAAAGAAATAGCAAAAAGGTTAATCGACGTCACAGGAGACCGAAGAGCTGGCAGCTACCTCGGACAAAGAATTAGTCTAGTTATTCAACGGGGAAACGCTGCCAGTATCTTCGGAACCTTGCCTAAAGGACCTCCTTATTAATAATATATTTTAGTTATTATAATATATATTTTTAAGGTTTTTAGTATTAGAATTAGAATTTAGAATGTTGTTTATATTATGTTATGTAATATTAAATGTGGAAATTGAGATTATTAATAGGAAATAATTACATGTTATAGTCTATATTTTTTGCAACCCCTCAAAGTGCCCTATTTTACACTCATACGAGAAAATCAAACTGATCCCCATAATATATCTGTAACTTTCTCACTGGCTAATTTACTTACCAAACTCGTAGTAGATATTGACCTATTTTCTACTTAGTCGAAATATGTAAAAAAAAGTGATGAACAGAGAATTTATCACTCACAGCCGCGACTGGCATGACTCAAGTTGCAAGCTCCTTGGTCTCACGGCAAGTTAAATTATGCGGGTTTTTTTTCTTGTTAATGTTTTTGCATTTTTTTATTGTTTTTGTAAGTAGTTTAAGTATACTCTGGAGTATTTTAAATTGTATAAAGTTGGCTGAAAGTAATATGTGGAGGCTTGTAATTAGCAATTCTTATCACCATTTTTTTTTATAGGATAGGTTGACAAACGAGCACACAGTCCACCTGATGGTAAGTGGTTGCTGTGGTCCATAGACATTTACATCTATCCTCCATTAAAAATCAAAATGCAGATGGGTTGTCAACCGTGAGGACTAGGATGGAATGCCTCGTTTCCAGTTAAAAGGGTCTCCGGTTCTCTACACTCACCATACGAAACACAGCAGCATAAGCTACTATTTTACGCTGGTATTCTGTGAGAGCGTGGTCCTTCCCTGATCGAGCCGACCAATTCGTGCTACAACTATACTACTAATATAATTGCAGCATGGCTCTACCGTGTGTTACTACATTGTATCTATACGAAGATATTAGTCTGTAAGCCTTCGTAAAATGAATAAATGTTATAAAAAGTGACAATTGAAAAAAGTAAGCTTAAAAATTAATTCTTTTTTGTGTAGCGTGTAAAACCTAATCATTAGATTTACGTAAAAAATGGTAAAGGACTAAGATAAGAAGACATTTCCAATCCAGGGTTGAAACTAACAGATTGCCATTAATCATTTTAGTACGCAATTGTATGATATTTAAATTGGTAAAATACACAGATACCTAATATGAATATATTTTTTAAGAATGGTTTATTGAACTTTTTACAAGTTTATTTGTAAATGAACTCAAACATATTCGAGCTATTTGCGGGTGACAAAATTTAAGTATAATACGATTCACCTCTGCTTCCTTGTACTCCGCGAGGTGAAGGGACCTTATTTAGAGCAATTCCGGGAAAACATGTACATTTTACATTTTTATAGTCATACATACATATAAGTTGTGAACCGTTTTCAGTTCTATATTGCTTTTTATCTCTTTGTGTAATCAACTATAATCCAAAAGCCAGCAGGAATTCGAATATTTGAAATATCTTCTAGTAATGGCCTAATACGAGGGGATATTTGTCCTAAGAGGCCATAGAAATAGAAATATATTCATTATATTATATATTATATTATATTTCATAGAATATATATTATATTATGACGTCTCCGTGGCGCAGTAGCTTAGCAATGAGTTAGAGCGCTGAGGGCCGCGGGTTCGATCCCGCATGGAACAAGTATTTATATGGCCTACAAGTAATTGTTCCGGGTCTGGATGGTTGTCGTTGTGCCATATATGTATGTAAACTGGGTAACGTTTATAAATAAATTTAAAAAAATCATAGAAATAGATATAGAACTGGATTGTTTTTATGCAATATAGGTTATATATAATACTTATTAAAAGTCACTCTTTTAACGAAAAATACCTCTGTCCTGGGAAGATCTAACAAGAAACCCAGCGATGCGTTAATATGTTAATTTCCTTAAATTGTTGTCTAGGAGACTCTTTAGTGTCAGTCGCGTGTTCCCATAGCAAAATATGAAATTATGCTATGGAATTAGACAAAATAAACAAGTCTAGACCGTTAATCATCCCATGAGTATCTTAGGAGACGACTATAAGTAACGCTAAAATGATTTCATATAAGCCTTCCGATAGATCGATAAACCACGGTATACCCATCTCGTATACGTCAAAAACGTAAAATAAACGGTGCCACAACAGGAAGCAATGTCAAAGGTGTGAGACGTCTGGTACTGATAAACCTCGAAACCTCTGCAACAAGTGAGGCTCATGTCCTGGTACCCTTTTACGGGTTGAAGTCTTCTTAATCAAAAAATAATCTGAAAAAGTAGAACTTTATATTTATGTAATTAATGCATGTAATAATAATGATTTCTTATATTTACGCGAACACTACACATTGATTAAAACTACTTTTACGGATTTTATCGCGTTTAGTATTTAATTATTTTTAATTCCCGACGTTTCGTGTGCTTTCCAGCACCCATGGTCATGGGGGACTGTCCCCCCGAAACGTCGGGAATTAAAAATAATTGAAAATTAAAAATTATAATAAATAATAAATTAAATAATAATAAATTAAAAGCCGTGGTATCTCAGGGACTAAGCGCTCGCTGTAAATTTTCTATGTACGCGAGCAAACCGGGTTCGATCCCCGTCGGCACGAATGCAATTGTTAATATTGCGATTTTAAGTACTGATTTATCACGTGCTCGGTGGTGAAGGAAAATATCATGAGGAAACTTGCATATCTGGGAAATAAAAACAAAAACAATATCTCGAAGGTATATGGAAGTTTGCCGACACGAATTAGGGTAGTGCGGCGAACATTTCCTTGCCCGAAAACCCTCTCAGAAATGAAAGAAGACCTGTGCCCAGGAGTGGGACTTATATAGGTCACTGTCATAATTTATTTTTGTCTTAGCCATTACCCTTAAATATTTGCATATCTGGGAAATAAAAACAAAAACAATATCTCGAAGGCATGTGAAAGTTTGCCGACACGAATTAGGGTAGTGCGGCGAACATTTCCTTGCCCGAAAACCCTCTCAGAAATGAAAGAAGACCTGTGCCCAGGAGTGGGACTTATATAGGTCACTGTCATAATTTATTTTTGTCTTAGCCATTACCCTTAAATATTTGCATATCTGGGAAATAAAAACAAAAACAATATCTCGAAGGCATGTGAAAGTTTGCCGACACGAATTAGGGTAGTGCGGCGAACATTTCCTTGCCCGAAAACCCTCTCAGAAATGAAAGAAGACCTGTGCCCAGGAGTGGGACTTATATAGGTCACTGTCATAATTTATTTTTGTCTTAGCCACTACCCTTAAATATTTGCATATCTGGGAAATAAAAACAAAAACAATATCTCGAAGGCATGTGAAAGTTTGCCGACACGAATTAGGGTAGTGCGGCGAACATTTCCTTGCCCGAAAACCCTCTCAGAAATGAAAGAAGACCTGTGCCCAGGAGTGGGACTGATATAGGTCACTGTCATAATTTATTTTTGTCTTAGCCATTACCCTTAAATAAGAATTGTTTCTGTGCTTTTAAATCTATTAATAATTAAAAACTTGTGGTACAAAACACAACAGGTAAGTGACATGCGTAGTGGTCACGTTGCAGACTATTATGACTACAGCGTTAAAGGGTTAGCCATACATAGGGTTAGTACGTGGGAGAGCCACGCTGCAGCTATAATTATTGTATTAGCATTATATATTATATTTGTAGCACGAATGTGTCGGCTCGACTAGAGCAGGACCACGCCCTCACAGAATACCAGCATAAAATAGCAGCGTAATACTGCTGTGTTTCGTATGTTTAGTGTAGAGAACCGGAGACCCTATTTACTGGAATCGATGTATTCCATCTTAGTCCTCAGGGGTGACAACGCATTTGCGTTTTGATTCCTTATTGAGGATAAATGTGGATGTCTATTGGCCACAGTATACACTAACCATCAGGAGTGTGTGCTTGTTTGTTACCCAATGCTATAAGGGATACCGTGCCACACTAGCATCAGAATTATCATCATTACAGCCGATTACAAGTCCACTATTTAACATATGCCTCCCTCAGGGAGGACATAAAATAGTGGACCGCATCGAAACATGATTTTGACCACTACCTGCATCCATCCACTTTGTGCACTTACCTGGTCGTCACTCCATCTAGTGGAGGGCCGCCCTCACTTTGTTCACGTGTACGAGCCGACTTTAGCCTTTTGATCCGTTGCATATGTCAGTTATTCTTCCGCATTAAATACTAACATGAATCGGCAACATACAAAACACAGCAGCATTATTGCTGACCAGGACCAAGGAGGTAGACCAAGCAGCCTGACCGAATCACCTGCCTGGTCTAGCTGCCTGGTCCTGGTCAGCAATAATGCTTTTTCGTTGATGATCATCATCGTCATTACAGCCCTTCACAAGTCCACTGATGAACATAGGCCTCCCACATAGGCCTCCCCATAGGAACGCCACAAAGCACGGTCCTGAGCCACCTGCATCCATCGACTTCCTGCATGTCTTACCAGGTCGTCACTCCATCTAGTGTGGGGGTCGCTTTACACTAAGCCTACCGGTACGAGGCTGCCCCACGAGCACCTCTTTTCCCCATCGGTTGTCGGTTCTTCAAGCTATATAGCGGGCCCATTGCCACTTCAGCTTACTAATCCGTAGGGCTACGTCAATCACTCTGGTTCTACTGCGGATATTTTCATTTCTAAGTTTATCACGCAGAGAAACCCCATAGCTCTCTTCATAGCTCGCTGAGCAACCTTGAGCGTCCCCATACGGCCAGCAGTAAAGGACCACGTCTTAGATCCGTAAGTCATCAATTTACAGTCACAAATTTCAATCTTGTTTTGAGGTATACCTGATGAGAGGATGTGTCGTAATTTCCCGAACGCTGCCCAGCCGAGTACAAATCCGTCGATTGACCGGTCGAAGTTGGACTTACCTAGTCGAACTATTTGTCCTAGGTAAACGTACTCGTCAACAACTCAACAACTACCGGTATAGATGTGACATGGACGTTAGACATGACCTTTGTTTTATCCATGTTCATCTTAAGACCTATCCATTGGGAGACACGATTTAGGTCATTGAGCATAGTGCTTAGGTCCTCCAGCATAAGGACTATATCGTCGGCAAATCGAATGTGAGTCATGTACCCGCCATTGATGTTAATACCATATCTTATCCAGTTCAGTAGCTTGAAAACGTCTTCCAATGCAGCGGTGAAGAGTTTCGGGGATATAATATCACCCTATCTTACACCTCTCTGCAGTTGGATAGTTTTCGTACTCTGGTTCTGTACTCGGATGATACGATGGCTCGTAACCCTACTATACAAGCACTACAGCACTTCGATATACCGATAGTCCACTTGGCACCGCTGACGGGAATTTAGTACTGTCCAAATTTCGACGGAATCAAAGGCTTTTTCATAAGTCCGCATACGCAAGGCAAAGTGGCAGATTGTACTCTTCAGTCTTCTGCACAATCTGCCGCACGGTATGTATGTGGTCTATGGTACTGAAGCTGAACCCTTTCCGGAAACCGACTTGTTCAGGAGGCTGGTAGTCGTAGATCCTGTGTGCGAGACTATTCGTAATGAGTCCCGAAAACAGCACGTAGACACGGATCAGAAGGGAAGTTGGTCTGTAGTTCTGTGTTCTGCTATTATTGGTCTTAGTTCACTTCTGCTCCACGTCTCCGGAGTAGTGCCACCATGGAGAACAGAATTGAAGAGCTTCTGAGGGACTTTAAGTACCGGCTTTCCACCTGTTTTCAGAAGCTCGGCTGTAATTCTATACTCGCTTGGGGCCTTGCCGTTTTTCGTTGTTGCAACTCATTATTTGCAAATACATTATTTGTGAAAAATTCTTTGTTTTATTATTTAATTCTTTATTGTTTTAATTTCTTTTAACGTTATGTTGTGTATGACAATTAAATGATATATGTATTCTTTCGTTATTTTATCGGGACAAAAATTACAGTAACAAAAATAGCATCCTAGCCATTTCTTATCATTACTCTACAATTCTATTTTAGTGAAACAGGAACTATTATTTATTTTGTGACAGCATGAAGAAACTCATGAGAATAAGTGAAATTCATCATTTTAGAGTAAACATAAACTGTAGATACTTTTTTAAATAATGTCTTACTTTAACCGAATTGAATTTGCCAAGTTTGCAAAAAATAATTACAACCTCCATTTCTACATCCATAAAGGTTATATGAATCAAGTGTCGTTGATACATTTTGTCAAATGAAAGGCCAAGGCCTTGTTTTTTTTATATTTTTCTTATTTACATTTATCCCCCCGAAATAAAAAAATAAAAACTATAGTATTTTATGGATCCGACTGAAATGAGGTAGAGCCACGTTGCAGTTATATTATGGTTGCAGCATGTATGAGTCTTCTGGATCGCAAAAGTACCACTTTCTCACAGAAGAACAGCTTAAAATAGCAGCTTATTGCTGCTGTGTTTCGTATAATGAGTACAATCGGAGACCCTTTTTACTAGTCACGTGGCATTTTATCTTAGACCTCAGGGGTGACAACGCTTCTACATTATAATGCTCAATCAAAGACAGACATAGTGGTCTATGGATCACAGCACCCACTTACCATCAGGTGAACTATATGCTCGTTTGCCCTCTTAATCTATAAAAGAAATTTCAACTCGGTTCGACTATCCAATAAATTATTTTTTATTTCAGAGAAACAAGAACAAAAACCAGAAGAAGATTTATCTAATCATGACGTTATATTCTTAAGAGGCATCATTGAAAGTCCTGATTTTGGAAGAAAATACGTTAGTATAATATAATATAATAGACATAGGTACATACTTAGGGCTGATTTTGCAATCGTTGGATAAAAGCTATCCATGAAATAAAATATTAGAAATCAATTAAGACTATGATGACAATTAATACTAGCTTTTGCTGCATTTTTGCATTAATAAAAGATGTGTTCATATTCATCAAGCTTTTAAAACATCACAATCAACCGTTCTTCTTCTAATTCTTCAAACCTCCAAACATCTTCAGGAAATTATGATCAACAAAATAAAATTGACCCATAAACACATTGCAAGTATAGTTTTAAATCCCACTAAACATTTGATTTTAAAGCACTTTCAAACAATGTTCTTATACTTGGCAAATACAGCAAAGATGAGTTGCAAAAAAAATGTCTTCTCTGTATACCTACTCAAATATAAACGGAGTGATTTTCTGTCTTTATTGATTCTGAAATTTCAAGCGGCCTAAGATAACATACATTTGATCATTCCTTTTTAGATTCTTAGTTAGGCATAATATACAAATTCTAAAGGGAAATAATTTTTATTTTCACGAAAAAAATTGTGTAGGTATTTAAAAGTACTTTCAAACAATGCTCTTCGCATGTTTATACATTACTTGGCAAACGCTACAAAGTTAAGTGACAAGAAAACATTTTATTATGGGTATGTTCCGAAACGTTTTCAGTATACTGCCGAATACAAATGACGTCATCAATTGACACTATATTGTACTGGCGTGCCGCCGCCATATTGTGGCGGATATCCGGCCATAATAAAACAATTTTTAATTGTGTGTGCGCTAAATGAAGCATGCCAGAATTTGTTTTTATTTATTCAAATAGGAATAATTATAAAATGATTGCTGGTATCTCCACTAGGAGGATATAATGATTTCTGGAGCACAAAATGACAAAATAATCGCCAACACTTTTCCAATATGGCGCAAATGTATGACGTCATATACTGTCCTATGTTTTGGAACGAATCACCAGTACACTGGGTTCTAGTTTTGGAACGTACCCATCTTCATCTATACAAAAAAATGAAGTATATGTTTGTAATGTCAAAAGAAAAGCATTTTACTTAATGCATATGATATTATATGAGGTACTTATATAAAAAAAAAAAAAAATTTTATGCAGGTTTTATAAGGAGTAACTTTAACGATTGACTACTTTTATTTTATTCTCGTTGGTCCAGTAAGTTAAGTGCATCAACAGTTAGTGTTTCTACGTGATCCATTCGTATCACATAGAAACAAAATTCCGTTGGACTATAATACCTATAGTTACTTTGGTTCCACTGTATAGAGTACTACAATTATAGACTTTTATAGACTATAATATTAATTAGCAGGTAAGAGTGTCATACAAATCAGATTAGGCTGTATGGTACAACACCTTTGCCTGCCTTAATTGGTGAATCGTGAACAAACATTCAATTTTACTTGACAGATATTTCATCTACCTTTGTCCACCTACGTAAACAGTGTTTTATCCAAGAGTATAGTGACGTACTCTTACATATTTGTGTAAGCATATTCATTCTTATCACATAGCGAAATAAATTCTAAAATACATTAACGGTACTGGTAGACATAATACCTTATTAATTATTGAAAAACCGTTAATGTGAAATCAAGTCGAGTACAATGGGTGTGATCAATCCTTTTTACCATATACATATTTTCTATTTATACTGATTTAAATGCTTTATTAACAACCATTTATTGTAAGAAAACAATTTTTTATACCGAATTGCTTAATGTTATATATGATTTTTGCCTTATTTCGTCATTTTTAATTCAACAAATCAGAAAACTGAGTGCCACGCCTAAAACTAGTTTTGATTGTATCTTCGCGAGAAATTTTGCACTAAATCTAACCTCAGGTATTGACGTTGCAGTCCCTGGATTCAGAAGAGGATTTGATCATTAAACCTGTCTCTTTGGATAACGTAAACATAATACGGTCGTTAAGTGAGTACCGAGGCAATAACATACGAACTATTGAGCAAGCAGAACTTGCTATACTACTATCCAGAGTGCACTTTAAGGTATGGTATTCAAATTATATGTTACAATATAAATATTTATCTCGAGTGAATCTTAAAAAAAAATTTTGAAATTGTACAAAATCCAAATTGTAGTATTTGCTTTAGTGATGGGCCGAATATTCGTTTCACGTTCGGTATTCGGCATATTCGGCAGCTTTACCGAATATTCGTATTCGGCCGAATATTCGGCTAAATCACCGAACATTCGTTAAAGTGGTACTCAAAGTGTCCACTGCATTGAAATGTACAAATTCAGTAATGCCACGTTTTTCATAATTTTACTGTTAAAAGTATATTTTATTTATGGGTTAAATCTACTTGTACAGCATTATTTTTTTTAAACACTGGTTTTATTTCCAATTATAGCAAATAGAAAGCTTGATAAAATGGTTTTGGAATCAAACGAAGAAACATTACATTTCATCGGTGCATTTCACTTTACTTTAGTTGTCAGTTCCTCTAAAATAAGTCCAAATATTAGATCTCCTGTCATATTTCACTAAGAATAATACAACGAAATACTTTTTTTCTCATAAAAATAGTCAAAGCATAAGCATGTGCCGGCATTTGCTCAGTACTAAACAATGCAATAACATGTCAGGTGTGGCGGGGGAGCGAAGGCAGGGGTCCTGCGTAAATCCTGCGTGCTTTCTGGTAACAAGTTTCGACATTAAATGGTTAGGTGCCGAGGTGATCCTGCCGAATATTTGGTTCGGCAAAAGTTTTGCTGAACTTTCAGCCGAATATTCGTATTCGGTGAAATCCATATTCGGCCCATCTCTAATTTGCTTAATGTATATTATACGCTAATAATTAAAAAAAGCGGGCAAGCTGTAACCTAGTGCTTAAAAAAAACTAAGGTACCCTGGGGCTTTTAAAATTATGAATATTCATGCTTGCAAACAACTTGGAAAAGAAAGTACAAAAGTACAGTAAGTTTGATTGCGAACTTACTGTAGGCATTTTCAACTTTTTTTTTTCTCTCTCTTACACCCGCATGTTATGGGATGTGAAATAAAACAGCAATCACAATAACACTCATGCATACCAGCTATAAATTGTCAATACATTGTTTCCAGGCCCTTATAGATGCTCATGATCAAATAGGAGCAATCTGGCTAGAAAGAGGCTCAGGTACAGATGAAAACACTGCTCTTAAAGAAGAAAACGGGGATATAGCCAAAAACACTGACAAAGATTTTGATCCTGATTTGGACGAAGACATGCCTGTAGAGACAATTAAGGTAGTTGGACTTAGAAAAGTGCCTGGGCAGCCCTTAGGACTAACTGTAAGTTGAATAATATTTTACCTTGAATAGTTCTACCTACACAATTATATTTTGCTAGTTTGTTTTAACCAATATGAAAAAAATTATTGCTCAAATATTCTAGAATATTCATTATTTTATTAAACAATGTATTATAACACCTTTTTAAGTTGGATTTTATACATATAGACATATTGTAGTATAAATGCAACTGTATGTAAATGTTAAAGTTATAGCCTATATATATCCTACAGCTGGACACAGGCTTCTTCTCTTCTCAACTCTCTTCTCTAGAGGGGTTTAGGGCAAGAAAATGTCTGCTACACTGCCCCAACGCGTGTTGATGAACTTCCCATATCGTCAAAATATTATTATTTTCTTATTTCTTAGACATGTCGGTTTCTGAGCATGTGGTAAGTGTTCTGAGTGTGGCGGTTGCCAGCCCTTCCGCTTAAAATTGCAATTTACAATTTCATTGGTGCTGGCAGGGATCAAAACCAGGTTGTCCGCATACTGTGAAATTTACAATGAATGCTTAGCACCAGAGCTACCTAGCTGTAAATATTGTATGACATGAATTTAAATTAGGCCACAAATTTTCAGTTATCTCAATTGAGTAGACAATGAGGTAATTGATGAGCAATTTAAACAAGAGTGATACAAATACTCCATTAAAGATCAAGTATTGTATCATTAATTAAAAAATATGAATCCACAACTACCTTTTAAAATCACATCCATATCCATTATGCTAACATTTTGTGTGTAGTTATTTTAACATCTTAGAATCATAGACTTGACTTAAAATTGGTGACACTAATGAAATGAAATGAGTGTAATAACAAAAATATATATGCAATTTACCATTAAAAGTTAATAAGCAAAATTAATGTTTTATTACACAATAAGTGATTTTTTTTAACTTTAATTATACAATTAAAGTTTTAAAACGTGTTTCAAGAAAGTTGTATACAATAAAAATAAAATAGAGTAATATGTCTATCATTAATTTTTTTAATTTAAACACTAATTTTAGATGTTTATTTTCTGTTAGATAGTAGAAAAAATTTAGGTCATCATCTCCCTAGGAAGGGTCTATCCCAGCTGTTGATTTACTATTGACTGTTTACTATAATAATGCAATTAAGACATACAGATCTCAACATCATGCAAAGTATGCGCTTAGATGTGAGATTTGCGGAAAATAGCCTATCATAAACTAAACTAAATAATACTATATGTAGCAACTGCTTTTTTTAAGTCACATCACAAGCGAAACACACCAAAGCCTAAATCACGCTATCAAAATTCCGAATCATAAACAGTATATAGCTTCTCGACTGTCCAAAACCTTCTAAAACCTTCATCTTCTTCGCTATTAAAAAAGTACGCTTCTGTCCACAACCTTTTGACTCGTACAACATTGTTTTAATATCGTTAACCTACTTATCTCGGTATGGAATTGTCGCTATTGTTACAAAATGTGCCTTTTTTTGTGCCTGTTTCGGGTCATCTTAAGTGGCCTGTGGGCCATTTAAGATGACCCGAATTATTGTCGAGCTTGTGATGTAAAAAAATGTACGCAGAGTTGGGTTTTTTTATTATTTATTGTAAAGTGTATTTATCTTATTGTAAATAAAATAAATATTTATTAAAATAATTGTTTATTTTTTTACATTTTTTATTCACCAAACTGGAAAAAAATCGCATTTAGCATTTTTACCAAGGAATTTAGAAAATATAAAAAAATGTGAATGTACACATTTACACATATTCTATTAGCTTACTTAACAATAATTCTAACAACATATTATTTTATAGAGTTTCCATTCATAATTATAAAGATATTGCCATTGTAATGACACGCGCCACGTAAGCAATAGATCACTTGTTTAGGTTTAGACAGTATGCGCTAAAGCGACCATTTGGCCCGGGACAGTTGAGAGGATATAGAACATCTCCGAACTATCACACGGAGTGTTGGCCGCTCCCCGGGCAGAAAACCTTGCCCGGCGGGAGATCTCCCCTTTTCTTTCTACGGCCACAGTGGTGACCACCCGACATAATCTGAACACGCAACCAACAACCTTCGGAAACTTCAAGCTTCATCATCGTCATAGAATACCCCACCCATTCGCTCTCGAGCAGATATCGTCTGCAGTCTTCATATCCTGCAAGCCATCTAGCTTCACAAGGTTCATCGCAGCACTGGAATAATAATGCTTCCTGTTCCTTCAAGCTACTTTCTGCGCTATACAGTGTTCGACACGGCTCTGAGCCTTACTGCTCGCTTCTGCTTCACGGCACTCTCGCAGATTACTTGCCTTCTTCTCGACTCACCGCAGACTACAAGGCTATCTCCTGGCACTTGCACATTCGTCGGCAATGAGGCTGCACTATCGACCTCCGGTCTGAGCAGGGGGGTGATGTGGCGGCGCTGTCGTCGCGTCGCAAGCGAAACACACCGAAGCCTAAATCACGCTATCGAAATTCCGAATCATAAACAGTATATTATATAGAACATCTCCGAACTATCACAGGGAGTGTTGTGCTCCCTGGGTAGAACACTTGCCCGGCGGGAGATCTCCCCTTTTCCTTCTACGGCCACAAGCATAATATCATATCTGGGGTATACATTTATTTATTCCAGGTCACCACCGACGAACATGGTCAGTTGATAGTAGCTAGAATATTAGCTGGCAGTGCAGCAGCAAAACAGGCCCTCCTGTCAGTTGGAGATGTCCTGCTAGAAGTTGATGGTGTACGTATAGATTCAGAGGATCAACTTAAGGAAGCAGTGTCCAAACCAAATGACCGAGTAACCCTGAAAGTTGGCCCTAATCTAAAAGAAAAAAGTTCACAGTTAACAAACAAACTCAGTGTATGTATTTGTAAATTAAACTTGTCTTTACCTTAAAATGCCTATTAATATAATTCTTATGAATGAAAATTACAATGTAAAGACAATTCTAATTGGCAGTTGGCAGTCCTCCAGCCAAGTGGCACAACAATGCCAAATATCCCCCCTTATGGGTTATGTGTATGTCTAGCATAGAACTTTTGATGGGTTGTAGTGAATTAAGGTATGAAAACTGCCATGGTGCAGCCACAATAGATGTGACTGCAGTACAAATAAGTCAATTCGACCAGGGATGGACCACATAATCACAAAATACCAGCAAATTTATTTTGGGTACTGGATTGTGAGCTTAGATAATTGGAAATCTATTTTACTGAAAACAAGGTATTATTACATCTTAGTTCTCAGCAGTGGCAACAGATCTGCAATTTGATCCTTCATCCATGGCAGATGTAGGTATCTATGAGCCACAGCTTACCATTACTTACCATCATGTGGACTGTGTGATTGTTTGTCACCCCTACAAGTATGAAATATAATTGATTCTATAAATTGGTTTGAAAAAATTGTTTCACAATTGCAGTGCTATATGAGAGCTCTCTTTGATTATGATCCAAAGGAAGACACACTTCTTCCCTGTAAGGAAATTGGATTGGCATTTAAAAGAGGAGATATCTTACAAGTGAGTAAAATCATAAAATTTTATTATTTCACAAAATTGTATCATGTACTTCCTCCTAGACGCATCTAGGAAGTACATGAAATTACATACTACCTAGTAGCCATTCTGTGCAGTTTTTTAAATAGTTAAAAATGTGTTAATTATGAAAATCTTGTGTGCGTGCGTGCGTGCGTGCGTGCGTGCGTGCGTGCGTGCGTGCGTGCGTGCGTGCGTGCGTGTGTGTGTGTGTGTGTGTGTGTACACTGTACAGTTATTTTTTATAAATTATATTGAACATACACTATCATTGTCGACTTGTTTAAGGTATCAGATAGAAAAGATCCAAATTGGTGGCAAGCAAGTCATGTTGAAAATCCAGAAGTTGTTGGTCTAATCCCTTCACCAGAGTTAGAAGAAAGACGAAAAGCTTATGTACCTCCTGAGGCTGATTTTGTTCATAAAATAAGCATCTGTGGTGCACGGGTAACTGAAATTTATTATATCTTGTGCTGACTTCGTTATTAATATTTACGTTAATTTTGAAATGTTTTCCAAAAATATGAAATCTTCTTCACCATCATCATCATCATCAGCCTGCTCACTGGCTCTACCATTGTAATTCAATTAACATCAATTTTTCACACATAATCATTTTACACTCTATTATTAATGTGTTCTAATAACAACTTAACTTGGACATTATATGCAACCTGATAATTGAGGAGACCTAATAAATGAGGTTCAGATGACCCACCAGAAAAAATCCATTTTAAAATTATATCAAACACAAGCAAATTTGTATTATTTTCAAAATTTTATTACTACTACTACTACTTCATCCAGGGCATGTACTATAAAAAAGTTTTAACTATTTTTTCAAAAATTGGTAGCTTTTATTATTTTAAAATAATTTAAAAAAATCTGAGTTAGCCGAACCACGTACCAAGTGTGCCAACTATGGAAAATATCTATCTCCTAAAAACCTGGAGGGAAGGCCTAGGTTCAGCATTTAATAGGTAATGAATGAATTGAATAAATTTAATACAAGGAAGTAGAGAAACAACTAGTACAACGGTATGCTAATGTCTAGATTTTTATTGTGCACATGTATAAGTAATTTTAGCAATAATTTGTAATTTTCAAGTAGTACTTATTTTCATTCTCTATTTATATAATGTGCAGATTTCAAAGAAAAAAAAGAAATTCGTCTACGAATCGCGGTCGAGCGTTCAACTGGAAGGCGCAGAACTGGCGCTGTATGAAGAAGTTGCGCGCACCCCACCATTTCTGCGACGTACCCTAGCATTGGTGGGAACTAAAGGCGTCGGCCGTCGAACGTTAAAGAACCGAATGATACAAGAACATCCTGATAGATTCGGTGCCGTAGTTCCGCGTATGTATTAATAATTTTGATGAGTCAACTTTTTTTAATATGTCAATTTTTCTAATTTATATCGTTGTAATATTGTATACTTGAGTGTGTTTAAATATCTCTTAGCAAGCATCAAATGTTTGGCCACAAATACTTTGAACTTAAGCAAACGCTTTCTATAGTTGTTGGTCTGATCCGCATTATAATTTGTAGTTTTTAAAGTGAAAACTTCTTTAGAACTATTATGATTTGAAATTATGATTTGATGAAATGAAAGGATAGGATTTAGCCGGCGAGAGAATGAGATAGAATACAGTGTGATAAGTGATAATAGCCTAATGGCAGATTGCAGACCGCAAACTCAAAAGGTTGTGGGTTCAAATCTACATTTGACTTCTGTCGTGAACCACTCCTAACACAAGCATTTTCAGCTTCAAAGGAAATATTGGTAATGTTAAAAGCATTGCTAGTATTATTTTTAAATACAGGGTTTCCTATTTTCGCGGTCTCCTTCTTGTTTTTAAAGATGGCAATTATAAAATGGCAATTATAAATTTGAACTGTTAAAATAAACAATATATCTAAATCATTTAAGCTTATTAAATAAATAAAATTATCATATTATACCAATCTATATATTATACTAATCCACGGTTTCATATCTTTAGACCATCTAGCGTCTATTTAATTATGTATCACTTTGAAAGTCCATCCATTTTTGTTCGATAAAATGACTTTACTTTTAGAATGAAGTAGATGGCGTTATTACAAAGCGTTTTTACTCGAAACAAAATATTCTTTTGATTCATTACATTAAAATTTAGTCTGAAAATAAGTATTGTAACATTAAATTATACTTTTGCCATATATCATATGCCATGAAATATTTTCATTTTATATTTTACTAGCTGACCCGAGTAACTCCGTCTGCCCAAAGGCCACCATAAAATTCTAAAGAAGTTGAAACTGTCTTTATTTTATACAAGAACCACTTGAAAACTGTTGAACAAAATTTGATAAAATTTGGTACCTACAGTGCTAATTTGAAATCACGCGGCGAAACCCGAAGAAACATTGTTTTTATGTCTGTGAAAAGGGTAGTGAAGGTATTTATAGGTTAATTTGAAGATTAATTATGATTTTTTTTATTATCTATGTTAATAGTATAACATAGGCTGTTTTAGGTACATCCCTTTCGGTCTTTTTAAGATAAAATGTAATATTATGTAGGTACTTATATAATATAGTATTTTAAAGTACTTCTGCGTACATGATATTTTTAATTTTATTTTCTTGCGATAGAAGTGCATACGGGTTTTCTCCACAACCTGATCTTGATAACGCAACATATGGTTTTCCTAGTGAATAACAGTATTGACGTAAATCGATTCCTACGTGCTTAAATGTTTGCCCCTGTGCTTTATTAATTGTTACGGCAAACGATACCTGAACGGGAAATTGTATTCATTTTAAGTTAAAAGGCAAAAAATAATTGGGAATCATTGAAATGCGAGGTGTTAGCATCGTTTGACCAACTACTGCACTAGTTCAAAACTATAGCAACAATCACATTATTGTGAAGAAATTTAACTTGGAGTCTGGTTCCATTAGATAAATTTGGTGGTTTAAGGTTTCTTATCAAAATAATTTTAGTACTAGTTTTTAGTTTGAGGGGATATTGACGAAGGCCACTCGAATTTAGAGAATTGAGAAATTCTTGTGGGTAGTATACCGTATCTTCTTGATCCATTACCTTGTCAGTGGAAATGTAGTTTATGTTATCTACTAGAAATTTACTCAGTATTATGTTAATAATTTTAGCAACACTATTTCCAATGCCAAATTTCCCTCTGACACACATCCACTGATAGTCTTTGTTTTCTACTTGGACTTGGGAGGTTAAGTCTTCAATGCTGGTAACTATTTCCTATATCTTATTAAAAGTAAGTTTGAAGAAAAGTCTGTACTGTTTCCTCCCAAATGTGCTCTCATGTTAGTAGATAGTTTAGGGTATGGACGAACTTTCGAAACGGCGATGTTTTTAAGCAAGACATTATCAGCTCCAATTCCATTCATTATCACCGGTAATGTTTGTCGAAAACCACCAGCTAATATGACAGTGATTCCACCCATGACCTAGTTAGAACATGAGCTCTATAAATCATGGTGCACTCATCTCATATTATTGAACTGACATCTTGCAAAACCTTTTCCAAAGGGCCATTATTACAGATAGAGCACATGCTATCTTTCTGCAAGTAACAGTAAAAAGCAGTTTAAACTTCGAATGAGCTGAACACAACCGGTCTTAGGGTAGGGAGCCGACCTCGCGTCTCGGTCTGTCCCGCGCGGCATGCTAGATGCTACCTCGCAGAACTACCGGCCCGCCTCGCTACAGCGCCCTGCTGCGCTTTGCTGCAGAGTTATTTAAAAATTATGACATATCCTATAGTCTTTGCGTTGTAACATGAAGGTTAGAGAACAGGAGAACGATCACTACGCACTAAAGCATAGCCCGCCTGTCCTTGAAAATTGTAAAATGTATAGCGGCGCTGACGTCGGTGAGTAATGACTGCGAAGTTAGCTGTTTATGAGTACAAGTGGATGAAGTTAGTTGAATAATGTTTTCATTTCATTTTTAATGAGAAAATTTTCATGCTCCGTAATTTTGTAATTTTTGACAAAAAGCAACATTAAAAAATGGAGAAATATTTTATTGTGCGTGGATGTGCAAGTGGTTTAGCATCTGATCGGAATAATAAACTCAAAATTACTTTTATTAACCGAACCTCGAGCGATCGCAGCGCCTCACTTATGGTGTCCATATTTCTGGACACTGTTTTCTACGGTGATCGTTCTCCTGTTCTCTAACCTTCATGTGTTAGCATGGTGCGAATGACAGCTAACGTCTACGAAGTTTCGTATTTTTTTATATGAACTGTCATACAGATATTGTTGTACTTCATGGATGGGTACCGCTCATTTACGAGAGTGATGTGGCACGCTAAACTATGCCATGCTATAACGAACAACCATAGACTATCAAGAATCGGTTTTGAAATAAATCGAATATTTACAAATCACTTAAATATTTCTTGAATATGTAACTAATCTTTCAATAAATTTTGATTTAAAGAAAAAAGTGCACATAGACGAATTTGCAGTGTTTCCAATACATGGCCGATAAATTATTCGTTGGTCAGCTCAGGCAAAAAGAATAATTATAAATGTGTCAAAAAGACTTGGCTACAAAAACCTATTTTGTATTTTTATTACATTACATTTGAAAACCAAATTCTCGATAATTTTTACCTTCCGTCCCGATATTAAGCCCATTGGACCTGGCAACACTAATACACATATAGAGAAAGGCGCTAGTACTCGTAGCTTGAAAAGCTACCGGTGCAGTCAACGTCGTACTGAAAATTGCAGACGCTGGCAGCCATTTTATTTGTTTAAATGTTAATATGAATGTTGCAATTAATTAAATTTAATTATGATAATTAAATTAAGAAATATAAGATGATTTTTATTTTCAAAGTAATATATATCTATAGTTATACGTTCAAATGTCTGTTTGTAATTTCCAAATACCAGCCTTTTACTAAATGCATATGAAAGTTTATACTGTATGAACAAAAGACAAACACAACTTTTAACGTAAATTGTCTGTTTGTCTGTTTGTTCCAGCTTATAGTTGACACTAGCAGATAGCTGATGTTATAAGGAGTAACACAGGCTTCTTTTATTTTAGAAAATTAATTAGGATTCCGCGCAAAAATAATTTAAACCTATAAAATCCCATCGTAATAAACAACACGCGAGCGAGGTCGCGGGAACAGTAATAGCTGTAACTATTATGTCATAATTTGTATTAAACTTAAAACTTAATTTTAAGTGCATTGTAGTTTATAAAGAAATATGTTTCGGTTTTAATTTTTATATCGATAGCTAATCGATAATTTTTGCTTTGCTTTGTGTGTCGTTAATCGCCTTTTTAAAATTGATTTGAACATTGTTCCATCTCTAGACACGCCTAACTGTAAGCCGTCACCCGCACCATGCTATAAATGATGTATGGGCAATATTGTTCTAAATTAAATACTTGTGATGAATAATGTATTTATTTGAATAAGGATTAATACCATGTTTATAAAAACACCTTCACAAATAATGCATTATTTTGGAACAAATTTGATTATAATAAAAAAGGTTACTGTAAGTTATCCTTAAAAGATAAACATAATATGCTGTAGCGGACTCTTTTAAACCTTTTTAAGAAGAACTATTCCGTATACGTGATTGTAGCTTTAACCGTTTACGCAGCGCTAGTAACGGAAGCTCTCAAAAGGAATAAATTTTCACCGTTCTTGCAACATTTTTGATTGGTGCTCCGCTTAGCGCGTTCAACCAAACAAACAAACTCTTCATCTTAATATTTAAAATAGTATAGATTTCAGTTGAAGTTGAAGTCTCGTGTGATGTTTCGTTTTTTTCTTAATTTTAGTATGCCTATCTCTTTCTATAATAAAAACAACTATCCTAGCCCGAAGTCCTCACAAACCGCAACCACAACGCACTGCAAATCTTCTACCATTTAAAATTTATATAATTGATAGATACATCTCGACCGCCGCGGCCTCTAGAAGAAAACGGACTCTCTTACTGGTTTGTATCGCGGGAAGAAATGGAGAGAGATGCTCTTGCAGGCCGCTTTTTGGAATATGGAGAGCACAACGGTCATCTATATGGAACCCACCTTGACTCTATAAGAGCCGTTATTAAAGAAGGTAAGACTCTATTTTTATGTTCTTTAGACTAGATTTTTTTTTAATATGGCACACGACAACCATGATACATTATTAAAATGAGTCATAGTGGCTCAAGGACAGGTCGCTGCTAGTTTTAAATTTTATAGTACGTTCGCATAATGTAAGTTCGATTGCCGCCTGCTCAAATTAAATTTTTTTGCCAATAACAGCTACAGAAAAAAGAAAGTGTGGACTTACTTTTTCCTGTAGCTGGACAAGGAGATCTGAGAAATTATAATATTTATTTTAAATGATTCAAGTCAATTTATTAAAATATTTATACAAGGTTATTTTTCAATAACCGGCCAAATTTTTTAAGAAGGTTCAAAATAAGTAATACAGGCAAATGATGAAGAAAAATTAATTTAAAAAATCTCAAACATTCTGTCGTTTTTATCTTTTAATTCAAAATTCATTATTTTAATTGATTTTTCTGTACACATTCCTAAGAGCCGATCGGTGGGCAAAAACATTGTTGCCCATAATCATATTTAATTTGGGATAATTTCAAATAAAAGTAGAAGCCTTATTTACTCGAATCTTCAAAAACTGCAATAACGGTATATCATTATTTACTATTTAAAACTTAAGTTTAAAATTTGGCTACTCTTTGAAAAATAACCCTGTATAAATAAAAATTATTAATAAAATTATGCCAAGAACAAGACGAGTCCGTTGGAACAACTTCCTTCACTCCCGCAGTGGAACACTTTTAATCTAATTTAAAAGCATTCCACTTAAATCTAATTGAAAAAAATCAATTTTTCAGGTAAAATGTGCATTTTGGACTGCGCTCCGCAATCATTGAAACTTTTGCATAACAGCAGCGAGTTCCTGCCGTACGTTGTAATGGTGGGCGCTCCGGGTATAGAGCAACTACGGAACTTGACTTACGCGTCCAACAGAAATTTATCGGTAAGAACTATAACCAAGCAGAAATCAGTAGATACGCTTTTTAATGTTCTATATCCAAATTACTTATACTACTGTATTCAAACCTAGACTTATTTGCTTTTCTAGTTATGAAATTTAAGCATTAAGAATGCGATGTAGTTCGACAAGGATCTTTATGAGCGTGGCTGACAGCTAAATGATCATGTAATGGACAATTTTTTTTTTTTGTATTTTAACCAATGGCATCTTTAAATAATACTATCGCTTAATTCTTTAAGATCCCCATAGCATTTTACATTTGAAATTACTTTGAAACAGAAAATATCGAAATGTCAAGATGCCACTCTTAAATAGATATCAGAGCATGATTGTTGGATCATATTGTAAACTTTGAAGATATAAATTTCTAATGGATAATATATACATTAGACTGTTTGCATGTATTTTGTCAATGCGTATACCGTTCTTATTATAGCTAAAAAGCTTTGCAATGGAGATATCTCCAATATTGTTCTTGGTAGTTATTGACCTGCATCTGTAATAGCGACAGTAGCCTAATTGCAGGGCGCGGACCGCGAACTCAAAAAGGTCGTGGGTTCGAATCCGTCATTCGACTACTGGCGTGAACCACTCGTAACACAAGCAATTTAAGCTTACCACGAGTGGTTAAGGGGAATATTAGTAATGTTTATTTATAGCATTGTTAATATTCTTTAAAAGAATCTTCACGATACATATTATAATGTATGGTATTTTTCATAATATTATCATAAATTATATGACTAGTGTTTTGAAGACGGACCTGACATAGTAAACATACCAATATATATTTTTTTCATTGTTATAATCTATAAGTTTTATTTTGTTAACGTGTTGTGTTTGTGCATGCATTGTGTAGTTCGACCGGCAGAGCTCTATTCGGTACAGTTCTCGACGTGCGCGAACCCTTGAGTCGCTAGCTTCACTTTACGAGGTAAGATAACACTAGCATGTTACTATATATTATAAGCTTCTAAAATATTAGAAACCACTAGTGTTGCCACGTACTATATTTCGTAGTAAAAAAATCACATTTTTACTATATTTTGATACAGATGACACTTAATATATTTCCCTTTTCCAATTTAACATGATATACAAATTTTATAAATTGAAGGTTTGCAAAATATTTATTTTTGAGTCATTTATTTCTAAAACTACTATTAAATATAATTTCCATTTATTATGTATTGAAACCAGATATTATATCGCCATTTATCGGAAGGCACAAAATCTGGGCTTTACCCGAAATAACCTCTTACTCTACACCTACAAGATGAAATGGGATCATGGCTTTACACTGTCACAACACAATGATTAATCGATAGTTGATTTTTCTACTAAATTCTGGTCGCTGAGCACAAAAATCTCGTACAATGACCTTTTTGTCTAATGCCAGTGATTAAAAACATCTTAAGATAAAATGAAAATCTGTAAAATATTACGAAGTAGCGGAGTGAAAGAAAGAGAATAAAATGTAAATATATTTACTATTTGCTGTAGTATACTAGCTGATACCCGCTCGTTCCGCTGGACGCACGATAATATTTATTGCGGAACCTAAATCTAAAATATCAAGAAATTATTTTTGATGGGACTATCGTAAAATCTATTGCAAAATGAGTAACTATAGTAAATTTTAAGCCAACCAGGTGTGTACTGTTTTTAAAGGTCTCGTGATGAGTCAGTCTTCGACCTTTAAAACTCGGGGTACCGCTGATTAGTACCGGGTACCGGGGGCTGTTTTGTGCTTCATATCTTGATTACAAATCAATTATAATATAAGGATATTTACTAATAGGTCAGTATTCCTTTAAATTTCCTTTACACATTCAAATACGTTATATTGTTATCAGTAGCTACACTTTCACATAAAAGCTCTAATGTTGAGGTACACAGAACTGGTTCTATTTTATAACATAATAACGAAGAACAACAAAAATACTTAACAATAAATACAAAACAATATAAAAAGAACGATGATTACACAACAAATTTAACCTCAAAAATAAAATTAACCGATTTTAAGAACTTATTAATAGTAGATAGAATAGATAATAATAAATGATATAAAAGAGAATAGTAGATATAATATAGATAGTGCTTAATAATAGATAGATAATGTTTTAAATTCATTGTCTTCTTTCACTGAATTACAATAGAAAAGGACAGTCATAGAGATAATTAAAACTTAAGCGAGCTATAATCAACGATTATAAGAAAGGCTAATAATAACCCGATTACTCGAAACCGAGACGAAATAAAAAACACGTCCACAAGAACAAGTATAATTGTTATGGCTAAAAGGTTTGCAAAATCTGATGATGGCGGTCACCGCACTTTACACTATTTCAATGCTCTGACACCCGTAGTAAGTAGGTGTCTTATGGTCCTATGAAAATTAAAGCCTGTTATTTAGTCTGAATTTCAGTAATCGCTATAAATGTTTTATTTTAACACAGGAAGAAGATATGAAGAAAACACTAGAAGAAAGTGCCCGCATCGAGAGAAATTACGAAAAGTACATCGACCTGGTAATAGTCAACAACAACCTCGATACAACGTACTCGAAAATTATGGACGCGCTGCACTCGCTTTCAACAGATCACCAATGGGTGCCTGTCAGCTGGATTTATTAACACCTTTGAAACTTAACTAAAATATAAGCAGCCATGGTCTTCCTAATTTGCACTTTAAACAGTAAAGCAGCCTCTTAAATACATCGCCCTATGCAAAGATTTAAATAAAAAAGCTACATAAGGGTATTTAAACTTCAAACAACTATTAATTGAGATAATATAAGTAAGTATACGTTTATCGCACTAACATATATACTGGAGATATAAAACGCTTATAATATCTTTGAACATTGTATCGATACGATATTTTATAATACCGAAAGCGAAACTATTTATAAAGTCAGTTATTTCAATAATAATACAATATGTTAAAACATTCGTAAGGTTACTTTTAAGTATCGTGATACTACGATTCTATTCACGTAATCCTTTTCGGTTCTTTTCCATTTCGGTTTTCATAAATATAAATAATTATCCCTCAAAAACAAAATAAAATTTAATGAAATGGGATAACATAGCAATACAAGCCGCGCAGGCGGCCGTCGAGTAACTATACCGACACAAGTTAAAGGTCTTCGCACATTATAACAACTCCACGCCAACGCGGCAGCAACTCTACTCACACTCTCGATGAGTAGTCAACTAGTTGATCCACCCAATGGTCACTAGTGGACAACGCGGTGTCAAGGAGTGGCCAACGCGGTGCCAACGAGTGGGTTATTCAACAGACAACTCGTCTAACCTCAGTTTTCGGTTAAATTTTGTCCAAAGAAGTCGTGTTGCTTATGAAATGTCGAACTTTACATTCAGTGAACTGGCGATTATAGCTATTATATTTGATAATGAAAATGAACGAAACAGCAGGAAAAGAAGATATTGGGTACATGATTTGTTGCGACAAAGGAAATCAGAAGGGGAATATTGGAATATCCGGAAACGTCTGCTAGATGACGAAGAAAAAATTCTATATCTATTTCCGTATGCCGAGATACTTGTTTTATTATATACTTAATATTATTGAGGACGACATCTACAAAAGAAACACGCGATTTAGAGAAGCTGTATCACCGGAAGAAAAGCTGGCAGTGACATTAAGGTAAGCAATAAGAAACTTTTTTATAATTTATATGTATTTATTTATATATCAAGTTAAAGGATAAATCAAAGCAAAGCAATTTTACTTTAATTGTGTTAAGAAGAACCATCAACCCTCGATTCTTCCATAGGCGTTGTATTTTGCTGTTGGGTGCTAGCGGTGCTACTACCGGTAGTACCTGCATTTAGGTTTTGAGTTGTGTAGCCAGAAGTTCCTGGTGCAAAAAAATCATCATAGTAACAGTTTCGATTATTTTGCAGTTCTTGTATTTCAGCTTCCGAAACTAAATTAAAAATTCTTGACTTTAAAAGTGCTTGATTATAGGTAGATAATTTTTTTACTGTGCTAGAAATACTTAAAAAAAATTTATCCATTTCATCATTCTGCTTTCCATCTTCATCGTTTTTTTTTTTTAAATAAATATTCCATTAAAACCGCCGATGCACTTGTTTCTTGCAATTTCTTTCGTTTTGTCGTTTTTGGAATGTCAGGAAACACTGATCTAGATGAATCGTACATAGACACCGAAGATTCAGGACGCTCCGAGATAATTGACGAGTCTTGAGATTCTTCATTATTAGTCACATTGGCAAGAATTTCCGCAGCAGATAAGCTATTTTCATCATCACCATCATCTGTGTTGTCCACTGACGTCACTGTAGACCGTTCTTTATAATGTGGTAATAAAAAAGACATTTCAGTTTCATATTGCAATTTTTTATTAGTATTAGCACTCTGACCACTTTTAGTTGCTTTCTTTTTAATGGCTCTACTATGATATTCCCTTAAGTTTTGCCATATCTTCTTACATTCTGACGCTGTAACAAAATAATATAAATATAAAGAAAAATTGGTTGTTTCAGGTACTTGATTAGTGGCTGTTCATTTAGGACTATGAGTTCAAGCTTTCGGTTAGGCGAAAGTACCATCCGGTCGATATTAAAAGATGTGTGCAATGCGATTATAAATACAATGAAGGGGAAGTTCATGCCCACACCTACTACCGAAGACTGGAAAAGAATCGCAGATGGTTTCAATAAAAAATGGAATTTTCCAAACTGTATAGGTGCCATCGACGGCAAACATGTAAACATAATTGCTCCTCCTAGCAGCGGCTCGCTATTTTTTAATTATAAAAAACACTTCTCTATCGTCCTCATGGCTGTCGTCGATGATAAATACAGATTTATAGCTGTCGATATAGGGGCCTATGGCAAGAATAGTGATGGCGGAATTTTGGCATCGTCAAGATTAGGAAGAGCGATTGAAATGAATACATTTAATATTCCAACTGACACACCATTACCTGGTACTGAAATAATAATGCCACATGTTTTTGTAGCCGACGAAGCGTTTCCTTTAAAAAGGAATTTATTGCGACCATATCCACGTTCAAGTGGCATTTCAGAAAAGGAAAGAATATACAATAATCGCTTATCGCGAGCTCGCAGAGTAGTTGAAAACGCGTTCGGCATCTTATATCAAAAATTTGGAATTTATAATAAGAATTTGCATTTACACCCAAAATATGTTGATATTGTGGTCTTTGCGACGTGTATTTTACACAATGTCATGCGGTGTTATAACATCCGATGATGAAGTCAACACAAGGCAGAGTTCGGCCAATAATGATGATGAACAGAGATTACTAAGTAATCTAAGTACAATTCCAGAAGATATAAGTGAATCTTCGGCATCTGCTTTTGAAACTCGTGATATGTTTGCAACTTATTTTCAATCTCCCGAAGGACGAGTTCCGTGGCAGCATTTAATATAGATCATGTATAATTAATATGTAATAATCGTAAGAAGTTGGTTATAATATTATTGGCTTATTAAGAATATTAAACAAGTTTCTATACTAAGCTGGGATTTTATTACTGATTACCTATATTAAATAAACGTAAGGCACTTTATTATAACATACAGAAACCCAAACTAAAAAAAAATATATATGACGTAGATTTAATATTTTATATCAGTAAATTCTGGGATTTTATATTACTGTATGTGAAAAAACTAATTTTTACAATAAACCAAGATTTTTCGAGTGTCCAAGTAGAAAATCGTAGGTACTGTTCACTGTACAATAACATACCTACTTTTTGGATGTAACAGGTTGAATTAAATTTTCTCAACAATGTACTTTAATGAAATGACTTATAAGTTTTAACATTATTATTAATATCTATTAGAATCACACATATTTATTTGTTCGATAGCTGAATTTCTGTAGATTATGGCAAAATCAATAACTCAAAAAAAAAAAAATTCTTACCTGGTTGCGACAATACAATAGCGATTTCATTCCATGCCTTTTCCTTCTTATGTACGTCACTATATTTCGGATCACGAAGGTCGTATAGTAGCGGATATTTTCGCACTTCTTCTATCAACTTTTCTTTCAGCATGATTTTCGAAAAATTATCACCGTGTACCGCCAACGTGCACTCCGTCCTTCGATTCTATAGTGAATGATGGCGGGCGGGGGGAAGGCACGGGGCGGACGGGTGGGCTGGCAAATGGTTGCCCGTCACGCGTCAGTCGCAAACGCATAGTCGTTACGTGGACAACGTTTGGTCGTTGCGTGGACGACGTATGGTCATTGCGTGACAAACGTGTCGGGGTTGACCTCTAGTGTACGATGCGTAGGCCACTCGTTGTACACTACTTTATAATCATTTTTTGAAATTGAACCTTGAACATATGATACAGGGCTTAAATTTCAATGTCTAGCATAGAGTCGAGTCGCCGGTGAGTTGTTATAATGTGCGAAAACCTTTAAAGATTCCGTCGCTAACGACGGTGTTGCCAGATTGTAAAAATTTGCTAAATTTTAAGCAAATTGTAGTAAAAAACCTGTATTTTAAATAATAATATCATTTTTATATTGATTAGTAATATGCTGATATCATTTTTCTTGGCATTGCCATTGCGGGACTAATCTGCATATTTCGTAACGGACAGTGTTTTTCACATATTGTATACCCTTACCTTATAAATATATTGTATTGGTATTAATACAATAGAAAAGCACACGTTTTCCCTTTAGGCGAATTGATGTACAATGTCGATTGCATTAATTGACGTTTTACGTATGTAAAACAATAACAAACGTTACCAAATTACATTTCTAACAATTCCACCTCGTTTACCCTAAATCTTTTCGTGCTTAAGTTTTATTCGTGATTCTATCTTCGTTATGCAAATGTGATATATACCTTGAGTTAAAAATCTAATAGCGTATATTTGGCTTAACCTTCAACATGTGTAGATGAACCTACTATACAATTTGTAACCTTTGTTACCAACCTTTACCTTATTAGTCAACTTTAGCATTACAAATCAAACGTCAGTTGTTTTCATTATCATTGAAATAACTAGTCGGTATAGCTATTATATGTATATTTTAGTAAAACATTGTTTGTAACGGACCTAAATACTCTTAAGGTAAAATTCGAATCAGGAATCATCATCGTTACAGCTCACCACAAGTCTACTGCTGGACAACATATACCTCCCACAAAGAATGCCACAAAAAACACATGTTTACATCGAGTTCTTGTGTTTCATACTAGGATTTTCGCTTACCGATACAAGGTTGCCACCCGGGAAACGCTCCTTCCCATCGTTTATCAGTTGTTCGTGCGATTATTCGAGAAAAAAATCTAGTAATATTTATACAAAACTGGATAGTAGCAGGATGTACATGTTCCATTGCTAAGCACAGGCCGGTGCAGTGCAGTGCAGGCAGGTGTCGAGATAAACTAATTCCTTCAGTATTTAAACAATAAATACATTTTAAATATTTTGTTTTATACTTAAATCATGGCTCATCATAATTACAACGTTTATTATGAAAAACGTGATCTCTTTTGAAAATAAAATAATTTAAAAATAATTAAGATACCATGGTTGTATTTAAAACATAAAATTAAAAAAGATTGATGATATTTTCATAATA